CTGTAATAATTTTCATTTTATATGTCTAATAATTTTCATTTTTACCCACCTTAAAAGTCAAAACTAAGTGGCATCCTCCTTTCTTGACTGTGGGGCATTTATTGTCATTGTGAATGAGTTAAGTGATATATATAAGATTCCACATAATTTTAAATGGGATAATTTTAAAGTTGTGATGTGTTAAAACGAACTCTTTTCTTAACTATCTTGAGGCCCACAATATCCACTTATTTAAGATCAATATCATTATTGTGAAATTAAAATCATTCCTTAGTTGTAAGCACTTTATTGTACTGGGATTATTTCTTCATATAGGTAATATGAGAATATAGGATGCATACATTTATAATATATTTGGTGAGTAAAAGTGCAAATAAGGATTCCAACTTTGCACTTTTTTTTATTTAAGGATGTTAATTTTATCAGTTTCTAAATAAAGATGTTAACTTTCAATTTTTTCTAAATAAGGATGTCAACTTTCAATTTTTTCTAAATAAAGATATTAACTTTGTTAGTTTCTAAATAAGAATGTCAACTTTCAATATTTTCTATTTAAGGATGTCAACTTTCAACTTTTTCTATTTAAGGATTAATTGAATAGTGATGTTGAGGTGGCTAACATATTTTTTTAGGTTAAATATCTGAATTAGTCCCTCAACTTTTATTTTTGAACCAATTCATCCTTGAACTTCAGAAAGTACCAAGAACGTCCTTCAACTTCAATTTTCAATTTCGTCTTTCCGTCAATTAAATGTTGATGTAGCTAATTTTTTCGCTAAGTGATTGACTATTTTACATTTTCAATATTAGGTGGAAAATCCATCATGTAAAAGATGATTAGGTGGATTTTTTTAATTTCAAATAATTTAGAAACTACTTTACTTCTTAATTTTACTTTATTTATATTTAAAAATTAAAACAATTAATATATATTTCCATTTAATTAGTCCCACCTACCATTTAATAAAATTAAATAAAATTTAATTAATTCTTCCATGAATTAGGAAATAATTTTATTAATTGAAAATTGAAGTTGAAGGACGTTTTTTGTACTTTCTGAAGTTTAAGGATGAATTGGTTCAAAAATAAAAGTTGAGGGACCAATTCAAGTATTTAACCTCAAAAATATGTTAGCCACGACAGCATCACTATTCAATTAATCCTTAAATAGAAAAAGTTGAAAGTTGGCAACCTTAAATAGAAAAGGTTGAAAGTTGATATCCTTATTTAGAAACTGACAAAGTTAACATCTTTATTTAGAAAAAATTGAAAGTTGACATCCTTATTTAGAAACTGATAAAGTTAATATCCTTAAATAAAAAAAAGTGCAAAGTTGGAATCCTTATTTGCACCTTTACTCTATACTTGGTTTGAGGAAGAATAGAGTGAAGAAGAGAAGAAGATTTTCATTAATTAGATTATAATATTTATAATATTTAATTAATTAAAAAAATCTCCTCTCTCCTCAACTAAAACATTATATTACAAAATATAAATAATTGAATACTAAATAACGGCACTTACTCTTTAAAAAAATTTATTTTTAATACAAAATTTATATTTAATTTAAAATTAATTGATAATAAATAAATTAATATTTTTTATATTTAAATTTAAAAAACACAAATAATTTATTATATATTGATGTGAAATTTTCCTGACCAACATGCCCATCTAATTGTTAACACTCCTTTGATACACAAAACTAAGAAAAACATAGAAGGTTGTGCATAGTGTTCTTTTTTGCTTAATTAGAGAAATTTTTTTAATGGAGGTCAATGTCCAAACTAAATTAGTAAAGTAAAATTAATCAAGAGAAGGAACGCCCGAAGTCCGACAGCCGTAGAAGGTGGAAAACCCGTCCATGCGACAAACTGACAGGACAACCTGTTCTTTCTCTTTCCCATTTTTTTTTTCCTCCTTCTATCCAAACAAATTTCTTCTCCTCCCGCAAAACGCGATGAAATGAAAAGAAAAAGAAAAGAGAAGACCAAGGCAAAGTTCTCCTCCTCTTCCTCCTCCTCCTCCTCCGTCTCCGCCTTCTCCTCTGCCGCACCATGGCTGTTCCGTTTTCTCTCTTTTGTCTTTTCCTACTAACTTTTGCTTCCTTTAAATGCGCTTATGCCGATGCTAATCTCACCCAACCTTCTCCGACGCCAATCAACCGCGATCTCTACCATTCCAGGTATCTTCTATGCTGTTTTTTTCTGGATCAACCTTGAATCTCAAGAAACACAATTAGTAAAGTTGAGTTTGTCTTTCTTGACCTTCCGAAAAGCATAAGATTGTTTCGGTGTTGCTTCTGTTAATTTTCGAAAATTTTCATTGAATTTGTTTATTAAATTCGAGCCTTGAAGATCGGATTAGCTTTCCAACACCATAGATAAGTACAGATTAATTCTACAATTTTCTTAAAGCTTCTGCATCTTCACTACGGCGATCGATGTTCTAGTTTTTGTTAGAAGCAGAGATTTGAATCTTTCTTCGATTTGTCGCTGTGTGTACGAGTATAACCTGAAATTGAAACAAATCCGTGAGATATTTACTTTACCGAAGCTAATCAAGCTATAATGCGTGGAAGTTATCGAGATTTGAAATTAGAGCATATAGTCTTGATTTTTTTTTTTTTTTTTTTTAAAATGGAGATGATTTTGTTTTACTTTGTTTTTTTTATTGATTCTCTGTTGCTATTTTGCAGTAGTGACTTGATTGAAGAAATAAAGTCTTTGGTCCATAGACACCCCGATAAACTAACTGTAAGTATTGTGTATAATAAGTTTGTAATGTGATACTGCTCATGTGTTAGCATTTTGTTTATCATTGTTCATGCTTTAAACAGTTGGAGACTATGAAAGCTGTGAATAGAGGCTATGAGGCAGAGATAACAGCTGTTACTTATTGTCGGAATAGGAAAGAGAGTGATGATAGGTCAAAGTTCCGGATCCTTCTTGTAAGTTTATTGTTTTGATAGTTTATAATTGGTAAATAAAAATATTTTATACTTAAGAACAGAAAAGCAGTCATGCTTTTTGAGACCTTATTTATGGTTTGATATGTAGTGGATAGATCATCTCAGATTGGTAATTTCTGGTGTTTTTGACAGATGAAATGATTCCTTGTCTTCCAGAGTTTTGGACAGCATGGGAGGGAGCTTATCACAACAGAGTTGGCATTACGGATCTTGTCAATTTTAAGTGAAGAACAATTTCTTCCAAAAATAAATCGAGCTACATTAGATAGCATCCTCGATAAGGTCGTTATAAAGGTAACTGCTTTTCATTTTTCTCTTTGGTTTTCTTCTTCTTCTTCTTGTTTTCTTTTTCTCTTTGAGTTTATCTCAAATTGGTAGAGCTAATTTCAAACAATTTATCAGGTTGTGCCTATGGAAAATTTGAATGGCCGGAAGCTTGTTGAAGCAGGGGATCTTTGTGAAAGGAGAAATGGTAAGCGTGTTTCAGTGATTTGACAATATGCATGGCTGCTTGTAAGAACTGAAATGCATAAGTTTTCATTTTGTGGCAGGGAGGGGGGTTGATCTCAACCGGAATTGGGGTGTCGATTGGGGAAAGAAAGAGAAGGTTCATTTTGGTCACCTATTTTTATAGACCTGTTTTTCCTATTTCATAATTCTTACTGTGTTTGGAACTTTGGATGTTTGGATGCTCCCTGTTATGATCTTTGGCAAAAGATGTATAAAACTTTATGAGAAAAGGGAATATTAGAACATTCTGACACTTCCAATCAAAGGAAATAAATAGGTAGGACATAACCTGGGTCCCAGCTAAATTCCCTCCATCATGCGACTATGATTGGATGTCCTGACATTTTTAATGCCAGGACGTCCTGGTTTTCTGTTTTCTCAAACTTTATTTCAGACTTGATCTTTTAAATGATCTTTCCATTAAAATATTTGGCGTATTCTCCAACTGTAGGATTATGATCCATATGAAGAGAATCCTGGAACTGCTCCTTTTAGTGAACCTGAGACCCAAATTATGCGGAAACTTGCCATATCATTGGATCCTCACATCTGGGTTAATGTACACTCAGGGATGGAGGTAGGTGGTCCTAAGTTCTGTGCCAATATTTTATTTTGTCTTATTGTTTCCTAGATTCTTATTTTGGATTGAGTCTTATTTGCTAAAGTCTATCTTCCTGCTAAAATCTTCCCTTTCAAATTTTAGCATTTAAGTTTGCAGGTTTAAGACACTGAATTGTCATTGTTCTTAAATGCTTTTTTGTGTGTGTGTGTGTGGGAAAAGGAGAAACTTTTGTCTGGAAAAGAAGAAACTCTTGTCTGTGATAAATTTGGTTATTCCTGATTGCTTTTAATTTAATATTTGAATTGATATCAAGGCCTCAAAGCGAAACTTCATAACTTCTAAATATGAATTAATTGGACTGATCTTTCAGTGTAAACCATCTTTGATTGTGTTGTTTAGCAATTTTTCTTTTATATTACTTCCTATTCACTGAAGCCAAAAAAGTTGAGCTTTTTCCCTTTTTTTTCTCCCTTTCTTTTTTGTTGGTAAGTTTTAATTTACACAGTTATTGACATGTGTCTCTTTGTTGATTAACATCTATGCAGGCTTTATTTATGCCATATGACCACAAAAATGTAACCCCAGAGGGATTGTCAGCTTACCGTATGAAATTGCTGCTTGAGGAACTGAATAAAATTCACTGCCACAAGCGTTGTATGATTGGGTCGGGTGGTGGTTCTGTCGGGTTTGTATTTCTATACTGAGAAGCAATGGCAATTTGATTTTATAGTGATTCCCAGAATTATATGTTTTTGTAGACACGTAGAATTTCATGAACTTGATGGATAAGCCCAATATCCTACCAATTGTCTAAATAACCATCCCTGTTGTTTTCATTCTAGATCATCCACCATATTATTG